ACTCTAGACCTGACCCCCTCCCACGGCCGGCAGCCTCTCCCGCCCTCCAAACCCCTGCACCAGCACAGAGCCCCACCCTGCACAGCAAACCCTTCGTCCCCAGCCCTGCCCAGACCTTGCACCCCCAGCTGAGCCCTTACCCCACTCTACCCCCTGAACCCCTCATTTCTGGCCCCAGCCCAGAGCCCACACCCCCTCCCATGCCCCAGCCCGGGGAAGTGAGTGATGAGGGTGGGTGAGATTGAGCGACAGAGTATCTGGAGCGAGTGGGGGCGGGGCCTCAGAGAAGGGGCGGGGCAGGGGCTTGTTCTCAGGGCAGGGCAGGGCAGGTGTCAAGGTTTTCCACTCTGGCATGATAAATGCAGAAGTGGGGGCCAGCAGAAGTCCCCCAAATCCTTCTCTACCAGGCTTTGGTATAAAGCTTCCCCCCAAAATCTTAACTTAGATTTGAGGGATAAAATCCGCTGCCACCACCCAAGTAATAATAAAGAAACTAGGGAGAGACTACGTGGGAAATCTCACCCCGAAAGTACAAACCAGGACACAAACAGTAACCAATACCAGGGTAATAAAAAGAAAAGAGAAAGAACGTTTATTAACACCACCGTATTCCCGTTGCAAGCATATTGACTAGATGGAAAAGTTACACAGTCATACTCATGGGGAAACTCCTCCATGGGCCTAGAACTTAGTTACAAAGGAAAGCAAAAACATTTTTAAAAGCGCAGACGTCAGATCCCATTTCCCAAACTATAAAACCTAGCGGATTTATCTAGACTTTACTCGACTTACAGAAGCGCGAAGAGCCTGTTCTTGGAGGGAGACATTCTGTCTGTCTCTCTCAGTAACCCAAGCAAAACTGCCAGAGACAAAGGAGGGATAAACCCAAAATTCCTTTGTCCCAGTTTGAAATTCCTACCCACATTCCTATTGGCTGAATCTACCTGACTTAGGTACGGTTAACCCCTTAGTTCCCAGGCTGCTGGCTAACCCTTATGATCATGACAGCAGGGCTGTTGGGGTTTGTGTAATTAAACAGAACAGCAGGGTTTCACCGATCGATGCCTGCGAAGTGGCTGCTGGTGAGCAAGTGGCTGGCGAGGGAAAGTTGCGGGATTTGCTGGCTGGGCAGAGGACATTGGGGGCTTCTGGCACTGGAGAACAGTTTGGGATTGGGCAATAAATCATAATAGTTGGGGCTTCATTGCAACACGCTCGGCTGTGAATGGATACATAATGAATTGAACTCAGCACCCCTGAAAAGCAGGCCTGGGGCAGGTACAGCGCAGGATTTACACTAAAGAATTCAACTGGCTCCGAGGTTTGCCCCACTATTCAGACTTTGATCTGCAACTATGTCAGAGACAATATGGACCTTTTCATTGATACCCACAATTCTACTGCAGGCAACTTTAATAACATGAACACACAGCAGCGACAGCATGCATTAATCCCCCTTGAACAAGAACCGGCATGGGAGAGAATTCAGATACAATAACCTGATTGCAGCGCAGTAGGGGTGGGAGGTACCGGAAGTGAGCCGGGAATCAGCTGTCGCAGCTCACGCCCTGTCCCTCTCGCAGCGCGTCTACTTTTTAAAGGTATGAAGAGCCTAGCGACTCTTAATACATTTAAAGGGAGAGCTGCCGCGGGGTTAGTGCCAGGCTGGGGGCTGACACCGCTGTGGTTCTGGGATCCCCCCCTTATCAACTAATCAAGAAGTTGATGGAAATTACCCACAAGTTCACATCTCCACTCAAATGACATTGGTGCTTTGGAAAATCCCAGCCTGTGTCACTGAGCAGCACAAGTTCGATTGACAATCGAGGGGTCTTAAGTCACTTTTGGTTCTTTTCAAAACTCCAGCCTTGGCCCCGCGCACACACGAACCGCTGTATTTAAATACCTATGGGCTGCGTGTGGCTAAAAGGATTTTCACCCTCCTTTCCTTGCTACTCAAATGACATTGGTGCTTTGGAAAATCCCAGCCTGTGTCACTGAGCAGCACAAGTTCGATTGACAATCGAGGGGTCTTAAGTCACTTTTGGTTCTTTTCAAAACTCCAGCCTTGGCCCCGCGCACACACGAACCGCTGTATTTAAATACCTATGGGCTGCGTGTGGCTAAAAGGATTTTCACCCTCCTTTCCTTGCTCTTCATGC